TTCATTAGATCAATTGGTATGTTTGGTAAAAAACACATCTAAAATACTATGTAGAGGCGGACTGAGGCGCTAAAGGCCCAGGTGTGTATAAGTTTCAAAACTACCAAACAAGAGACTCGTGTTATAAGTTTTATTTTAAATAAAATAACTTTTTAAGGAACTTATAACAAAATGAAAAAAATTTTTTAGGTTTATACTTTATACAGATTATACTCAACAAAATTTAACATAATACAATAAAACAAATTACTTCAATATTACAATTTTTAAACTTTATTATATAAATAAAATAAAAAAGTGGGAAAGTTTGTGTCGCTCTGCTGTACAGTAGGTTACAAGTGGGTCACTGTAATGGATGGTGTTAAATTTGAATTCAATGATATAATATCATTGTATAAAAAAAACGATTCTGGGCGAAAACCGTAAGTCAGCCTATGATATTACTAAGTATATTTGTTGATATTATGGTGAACCATGTACCTAATTTATATATTATAATAACCTGTTTACGTGGAACCTTATTTTAAATATTCAATCCTTAGCTATAAAAGTTAAACATTTAATATACATTTTTAACTACAAAATAATTATTAAATTTTAAATTTGAGTTATAAATGCTTATAAAAAAAACTGTGACTAAGGATTATAAGGATATTTTTTAAAAGTCATTTTAACAATATATTAGGAGCTTTGACTCAGCGGCGTATTTTAAATTTTTTTCTGGGGGGAGGGGTCCAATAATTCCGACATAATATAGGTAGGTACCTACTGATTTATAGAAATAATATTTTATAGATTATAAGAATAGAAATAGTTTTTTATTATATTTTAAATTTCATCGGCTAATTTTAACACGAGTATATTTTAAAATTTTAATGTACAAAATCAAATAGTCTTTTTTTTTACAAAGTTCACCCAAAATGTCTTGTGGTATAAGAGAATCTTTTAAATTGTAGAAATATGACATTATGATAATAACCGTCCATATCACTCGCTAATCTCGTTAACGGCGTTATTGAAAATAATATATTCCTTACGGCTCACATCAGATCAATGACCTATTATTATTATTTAACAGCGTAATAGATATTATCTATTTTATTGAAAAAATATTTAAGTATGAACTGTACTTGTAGCCGCCGCCGTCGTTATAGTAAAGTTATATAAGTATTAAGTTCCACTTTTATAGCCTTCGCGGCTGCAGTCGGACTGTTTTATTTTTGTAAATAGTATTGTAATATTGTATTCTTCGTTTTCAAGGTAATGATAACGGTGTGGAATTGAAAAAATTTAAAAATAACAAATATATAACTCGAGGCCCAAACATAAAATTTCTATAGGGCCTGGGTGGGTATGGCTACTTACCAACCCTGCCAGTCTACCCCTGATTTAAATTGTTTTTAAGATTTAAATTAGTATAACACGCCACAAATTGAATAGTAAAAATAAAAATAAATTACCTCTATCAATATTATTAAGCTATATGATCTAATAAGCATTGATATTCATATATTCGTGTGTCATCATGCATGACATACTGATATTTTAAAATCTTAGAGGTGTGATTTTCACCATGTAAAATATAATAGGTACCTACCTAATTGATTTACATTTTATTTGACTAATTTCGTAAAAAAGTTCAATAAAAAATTTGAAAAAATAATTAATTATTAATTGTATACGTTATATACTATGATGAATACCTAATTTTATATACCTAATAGTAAATATAAAAGGCACGTTTCAAGTCATTCAACAATATATAAGTATAATTATTGTTCTAAGGCATAAATTGTACACTGTACCAATTTACTATTTAGTATTTACATTTATGAATATATCCCTAATGACGGCCATTCTTGTTTAATTTACATGCATTTTCACTAATAAGGATGACTCTTACACATTTTTTTAGTGCTACAGTAGTTGAGCGCTTGTGAGCTACTATATACTAATTATATTTATACAGTTCTACGTCATGTCGTCATACCTAAGCGTGTGTATGTAAGTACGTTTTCTTATGCATTCGAACATTAGGATTTTTATAATATATACGATGCCGTTTTAACGAATATATTATATATTTATATTAAATTATATACACATTACTTACATCATTACACAATACTCAGACAGTTAGTCGAGTTAGATTAGACAAATAGGTAGGTACTAATAATACTTCTCTAAGATGAAACCTTCAAAAAAAATAATTATAATAATTAATTAGCAATATGCCAACATTGCAAAAAACTCAAAAAGCTTTATTACTTTTCTCAAAAATCAGGACATAAAATAAATATATTTGTTTTTACTATCGAATAGGTATCAGAAAATCAGAAAATAATAAAAATAATGTATTGACAAGGAACACAGTAGCTAAGAAATAGGTATGTAAAATACTTAGTACAAATAGTACAATGTTGATTGTTGAAGTACAGAATAAATGAAATAGTTACATTAATTATGAGTTTGAAGTTTAAAATGTAGATTGGTAACAAAAATAATCCGTGTTTTAGTCAGATGCTAGAAAGCTATAGATAACGAGCAATCAAACAGTAATACAACTGATTACTGGATGGGACATACAGCCATACAGCCTACAATTAGCATAACCATCTCGAACTGTTCTTAAGAGGACGTCACACCCTCATGTGTTGTCTCCATCTTACACACGTACGATATAGACAAAATGCAATTAAGCAGTCTGAGTATAAATCGCTCAATTTTGGTTCTAGATTAAAAATACCTACTGGCTATTATAAAATTCAATTGTGCCAATATTCACGAGGGCAAGTCGTTGCGTTTTTTCCATTATACCCAATATAACGTTCATTATATCGTTTAGAAATAGCAAAAATTTCAACATTTTTAAAATATAACTTTACTTTTCAAAATTTAAATTTTTAAAAATAAACTCAACGTCTTCACCTCCAAATTATTATCGTCCTTTAATTTTGTAATAAGGGTTTTTATTCTAACACCAAACTTGAGCGAGTTCTACTCAGACTGCGTAAACGTGTTTTGACTATGTCGTACGTGTGTAAGACGGAGATAACATATAATATTCGGGTGTGACTACGTCCTCTTAGATGATATCAGAGCACTGTTTGTTTTTTCTCTCTGTCACGTGCAACACAGACAAAACGCTTTTACGCGGAATCATTTTTTTTTTTGTTTTTTAGTAATCTTAGAATAAAATCACCCATTACAAAAACGATAGATAATAATTTTTTGTGGGTTTGACATATCGATTTGCCTAATTATTGCCTCAAAAAAAATATAAAAACATTTGAATTTACAATTTTTATTTTATTTTGAAAGTTCAATACAAAGTTAAATAATAATAAAATATAAAACCGATATGTCATACCTTTAAATATATTATCCTCTATAATTTTTCTTCTCAAAAATCATAAAATCCGATTTTAGGTAAAAGCGTTTTATCTATGTTGTACGTGGGCCTGAGAGAGAAATCAATTATTGCACTGAAATCCCTTTCTTAATGCAATTTGAAATAAATTTAAAAGTGTGGTATAATTTGTATGTTTTTATAATTTGTAAACATTAATATTGTAACATAATATACCTAACCACGAATGACGCCGCTAACTGGAGCATAAAGCTGAATATTTACAACAATATCATGCAGTGTGAAAATATTTATAGACTATAGTACTACACCACACGTGTATTATATGAGTGTTTGAAATTTAAATTTATATCATCAAATGATTCAAATGAAATATTATAACTCATGAAAATATATTAATAATTAATATATTGAATGTATAAATTTGCCAATTTAAAAACCAATATATTTCCGATAAAATATCTAAATCACCTAGTACATAAAGTAAGAATGAAATAGTTTTTAAAAAATTTGGCAAGTGGATACCTACTACTCTGCTGTACATTAGGTGTCACGTGAGTCACTGTAATGGATGTGTACAATTTGAATTCAATAATATAGAATTATTTTATACGAAAAACAATTCTGAGCGAAGATGACCTGTCAGCCTATATATATTACGAAGTATGTAATTTATTTAATGATATTCTATTGCTATTAAAGCAATTTATTTTACAATCATACATTAGTAATAACTAATAGAATAGGGCAGTAGGTTGAATTAATTTTTGTTAAGTTATTATGATAACTTATGAGAAATTTTGTATAAAATTTAAAAAAATTAATAATTTTTAATTTCTAATGCCAAAAAGTAGCTCAAAAAGAGTTGGAATATTGTATGGTCATATAAACATTTGGTAAAAATGTAAATTATTTACGGATATTTGTTTTTGAGTTACATGAAAACTAATTTTTTTTTGTTTCTTCGCACACTGATGAATAGATACTATTGGCCATTTTCCCAATGTTTCCCCCAATGAATTAGGTTCACTGGCAGAGGCATATTTATGCACAGGCTACAGGCCTTTTAGGCTGGGGCCTAAAGCGATGATATTTGGAGGTCGGCAAATTTAAAATTTTTTTTCTTACAAAATTACAAAAAGTAATTTTAATTTGAGGAAATCAAATTTTACTAATTTTTTGAGTAGAAAAATTATTTTTAAACAATTATACAAATTATATACCTAATACCTATTATATACTTTAGAATTACAAGTTAGGTACATTACATATCTTCAACAATAGCGTTCGATTGTACAAAATTAAACAGCTATACCTACATACACATAGATACTGTCATACTGACATACGCAATACGGTACGAACACTATACGAATAAGTAAACACACATAGGTAACAAAACATTTTAGGCCGTATGGGAGATTGGGAAAGATGGCAAATTGGAAAGTGCTTATCGGCAGGGAAACTCTAAATACGCTACTATTCATTGGACTTTTAGGACGATTACACGAAAAAAAATTTTAACTGCGTACAACTAATATACATACATATTGCTCCGCTCAGAATCTAAAATATAACCAACATAGCTACATTTTAATATTTATCATATTTTGTGTGTATTTATTTTTAGTGAACTCGAGTTTAGAAGAATTCAAAAAAAAGTATATTGTTTTCGACGGAATAGATACATTTAGTAAAATATATTTGAATAAAAAACTAATCGGCTCAACGAATAATATGTTTGTGAGGTACACTTTTGAGGTTGAAGATTTTCTTAAAGTATGTATAATTCTTTTTTTTATTTATTTAAATATATAATCGTAGAATCTTTACAGTTGTCCTAATAACATTAATATTTTTAACTTTATATACTATCAGGAAGGGGAAAATGTTCTAGAAGTTATCATTAAGTCACCTATACGCATGGCAAATCATTTTTTTAATGATTATTCTAATAAAATCCCACCATTTTGTGTCCCGAAAGAATACAATGGGGAATGCCATGTAAACTATTTGAGAAAAATGCAAAGTTCATTTGGATGGGATTGGGGTCCTGCATTCCCATCTGTTGGAATATGGTGGGTATAGTAATATTTGTATTATATGTGCTAATCAGAATTAATAAAAAAACTTTATTTATGTTCATGTTTTATAGGAAAAGCGTAAAAATAATAATGTTTCAAGAAAATTTATTAGAAGATGTTAAAACTGAAACAATAGCGGCTAATGCTTCACATTGGTTATTAAAAACTGATATTTATGTCAAATGTTTTGAAAGTATTTCTAATGCTAAATTAAAATTAGCTTTGAATACTGAAAAAAGTATTTTAAGCATAGAACAGGATTGCTGTAACGATATATGCGTTGAAAACGAAATTCACACTGCAATTGAATTATATGTGCCTACGGTAATATTACAACAAAATTAAAAACTATTTATCAAGTGAATAGGTAAATAGGTTCCTAATTATAGCATTCATAAATTCTTGCCGAAATGAAGTAATTTGTGTTACTTTTTAAATTAAATGTTTTGTAAAAATCTAAATGTTTTAATATTTGACCTAATAAAATTTGATATGATAATGATAAAATGGTACCCCTATTGGCTATAATTAGACTTAGAGGATCGAGATATATTGATTATTGATATTATTTACATTTGTAAAATATTAGGCACCTATAATTGCATAATATTTTAAATTACCTATTGGCTATTATAACCTATAGGACATAGGCATTTGGCTTATTTGTTCTTGTCTTTGAACTCAGAAGTATCATATCCTTAGCTCCCTAAACTATCTTATACCTTTACATAATATATATTTAAAAAAAATCTTTAGGTATGTCGTAGCCCGTACTATCAATCTTGTTTTATAAATATGTCCTGTACCTAGCATAGTCGACCGAGTAGCCGAGGTCCAACTATACGATTTTTTATAATATGCAATCATTTATCGAATTATAATACTAAATTATTCATAATAAGTAATAAAAGTAGGTATAGTTATTAACTAAAGTCTATAATATTATTATGTCCTTATGTCTGTATATAATATATAGTATCATTGATGTGGCAAAGTGAAATATTTTATTGGGCAGTTGATTGTGTCCGCTGCGAGATGGTTACTGATTTTTATTGTATCATATATTGATATATTATGCATATAAAAATTTATAATAAATAATAATATAAACCTACACTCGGGCTACACAATCACACAATACAATTTATGTCTTAGACTGATGTAAGCACTTGGTGGCCCAATGGATATGGTGAACAGCCACTGTACAATTTAAGCATAGAATTTAAAACTAAAAATGATGACGTTCAATCAAGAACAATTTCAATAGGATTCAGAACAGCCGAACTTATCCAGAAACAAATTGATAAAAATGATCCAAGCTTGGGTATATTACCCTACTAAGTACTAATAAGTATAGTTGTATAGGGCTCGGAAGTTGATTATACCTAAAAAACATTAAATAATGACCTAAAGTTTAAGTTTTGTTTAGATCCTAAACAAAATTCAAATATGGCCTAAAAATGTTTTCAAAAAATATAAAAGCCATAAACTACCAAGATAAATATAATATAATACCTTTATTCTAATTAATTTTATAAATCAGACATGTAGTACCAGGTAACCTATTTACATTAAGTAATAAAATAGAACCTATAATTCTAAGTTAAAAAATATTTATTTATAATATTTAAAAAGTACGAATATTTTATCAGATTAATAGTTTTAAAATGTATTTTAGTTGTAAAATATTCGTCATAAATCATGTAAATGGAAAATCGTAATTTTTCTTCCTATGGGTGCAGAATTTCGCAAACTGTGGTCTGCATGTATACCAAAGGGGGTCCACGATTTATTATAATTTATTATTGTTAGATTATTATTATTAAGAAGTCTGTAAGCAATTTTACTAATCTCTGAGGGGTCCGGCCAAGGAAAAGTTTGGGAAACATTTTATTAGTGGAAATTGGTAAAAATTACTTGAAAATACAAAATAAAAATTATACCTAGTTATTTAGATTCATAAATAATAAAACACTTTTTCAACTAGGAAGGCATCATATTATAAGAAGTTTCAAAAAAAAAATCTAAAAATTATCAACTTTCAAGCCCTACTTATAAGTAATAAATAATAACTAGGTATAACCAAATCTGATAAAAATTATTTGTATGTATAATATTTTTTAGGATTATCTTTTTATTTTAAAATAAATGGTGTGGCAATATTTGCTAAAGGCACTAATTACGTTCCGGCCAATGTATTTCCAGAGAAACTGAATGATGAAAATGTTATAAGTAATTTATTAATTGCAGCAAAACAAGTTCATATGAATACTATCCGTGTATGGGGTGGTGGAGTATACGAGAGTGATGTATTTTACAAAGTAATAATTATTAATTAAGGTATTTAAAGTAAAAAAACTTGATATTAATTTTAAATGTTTTGCATAGTTATGTGATAAATTAGGTATAATGGTATGGCAAGATATGATGTTTGCTTGTAATATGTATCCAGCAAATCATCAGTTTTTAGAAACAGTAGAGGTAGAAATAAAACAGCAAATTAGAAGATTACAACATCATCCCAGCATAATATTGTGGGCAGGTAATAATGAAAACGAAGCTGCATTAAGAGGCAATTGGTATGGAACAAGAAACAATTATTCCATGTTTGCTTCGGACTACATTGCACTATATGTCAACACTATAAGAAAAATAGTAACGGAGGAGGATAGAACAAGAAATTTTGTGGTGTCAAGTCCCACTAATGGCTTAAAATCTGAAGAAGAAAATTATATAGCGGAAAATCCATATAGTGCATTATACGGAGATGGTATGTTACATATTATATAAACTTTAAATCAAATATTTAAGTCATAATTATTTTTTAATTTAAATTTTTTTAGTTCATTACTATAACTATGAGGTTAATAGTTGGAGCTCAATTTTTTTTCCATGGACTAGATTTGCATCAGAATATGGGTTACAGTCTCTTCCTGCATATCAGACACTGCAAAAAGCGTTTGATGTAAATGATTTAATTAATTTTCCCTCACCAGCGCTTATTCACAGACAACATCTACCTTTAGGATACGGTTTCATGTTGTATCAAATAGAAATAAATTTACCAGTACCACCAAAGCCTACTGTTAGTGATTATGTGTATTTGAGTCAAGTAAGTAATTGTAATTAAAGCTAACTTATAATATATCAATTATCACTTGCCATTATTATTAATACTATATTAGATTGTTCAAGCCAGGGCTATGAGAATACAAACAGAATGGTATCGAAAACATAGAAATACATTATTAAAAGATGGTAGAGGCTTAACAATGGGTGCATTATATTGGCAGTTAAATGATGTATGGCAAGCACCGACTTGGTCATCTATAGGTAATAAGACTATTTTAAAATTGTTTGTTTCAATAAAAATTAATTTGCATACATATCAGTATTGGGAAAAATAATTCCATGATTAATTAACGATTATTTATTAGGATTTTATCTATAATTAAAAATGCATGCATTTTATTAAACAAAAAATTAATTGAATTTATTCAATACTTGAAGATTAGGATTCAAAAAAATATGATCTAATATTGATGTTAAAATATATACAATTTTACTACAAAAAAAATGAATTAGTAAAAGAACTAATGGATAATGTTGAATTTTTAATCAGTGTAGGTATGATATTTTTGAATAGTGAAATTGAATTTAACGGTAAATTCAATTAGTGTCTATTTAATGAAATTCATGAATTTTTGGTTATAGATAAAATCCTCATAAACTGTAATAATTGGTTTATCACAGATTTTTATTTTTCCTAACAGATATAAAGGTATAGACACAAATAGGGTTCATGATTGGGGGGAGGGAGGTTGGTGCAGATTTTGATGTAGAGATAAACATTTTTTCAAATATAACCATAAAGTGTAAAATGTTTGTTGTTTTTTTTTTTTTTGGGGGGGGGGAGCGCTACACAACGGTTAGGGGGTATAGACCCTCCCTCCATCCACACACTAATTATGCATATGTTTATAGGTATGACAGTTTCTCCTTAACTATTCAATATTATTATTTATTATAAATGGATATACCTAGGTACTAAACATAATATTAAAGAATTTGTTAAAGTATACATTTTTATTAATAAAATAATGAATTATTTGTTAAATATGAAATATAATTTGTACATCCAGATTACGACCAACGATGGAAAATGTTACACTATAGCGCATTAGATTTTTTCTCACCAATTATCATAGTTCCAGAATTAGAAATTTCAAATAATTTAACAATGTATGTAGTTTCTGATAGTCTAGTGGATTTGGAAGTCATTTTTAATGTGGAGGTATATAGTTGGAAAAGTAATACACCACTCTCTACATACATATCAGATACTATATTATTGGTTAGTAGTGCTTAGTACTTAATTATTACATTTCAACATTTGTAAAGTTAATTTTAAATCAAATATTTTTTTATTGTTTCAGAAAAATAATAGTGCTCAGTTAATTTTAAACGAAAACTATTTTAATTGGTTAAAAGCACTAACACAAAAATGTGGTCAAAGCAAAGACCAACAGATTCGATCTTGTTTTTTGCACACAAAGCTATATTATAATAATATAAATATGACAGAGGCGTCTCCATCAAATTACCTGTTCCCTACCACATTCAACAAAATTATTGGTTATGAGACGCCTAATATATCGGTAATCTTTTTACTTTGAGCAATATTATTATTTAATTTAAACTAATTAATAGTAAATTAATAAACTGTGGCTAAATATATGGTTATTTTTGATATACAATTGTACCAGGGAGTTAAAATAGTATCAGCGGCACAAACCATGATAATTAATATTTTAAACCAAGGTCTTAGATTATTAATTAGTTTTAAGCTAAAATATGATTAAAAATGTGGGGGGCTTTGCCTCACTCTACTTGCACCTATGTATTGGATTCAGTAAATATTCTTGCCAACCATATTTTCCTTATAAAATAGTATGTTAAAAAATGTAATATTTAAATGTGTATTTCTAAAGTAGCAATTGGTGTTACAAAATTAAACAACTTATTGTAAATATTAAAGAGATAAAATGATAGAAAGTAAAATCGAGAGGAAACTCTATTAAAACTAATAAGTTTAATTTAACAAAATATAATTTTCAATTAATATTCAACAAAATACCTTGTCATGTACTCATGTAGAAACTTTATTTAAAATTTCAGAATTCTTTAAAATGCTTATTAGCCATACCTAATAATAATAATCAGTGGCGTACGCAGGATTTTAGTTCAGTTAGGGTTTTTAGCTAAGACTAATCACAGACCCGGGCTTCATCCTCATTTACATAACACAGATTTTTATATAATTAGTTAAAACAAATTATAGAGTTTAAGTTTCAAATTTAGCCAACATATAAAGTATTTTTAACCTGGCGGCCTATAGACCATAGATTAGAGTATAGTATTAGAACCTCATCAGACCGTTATAAATATGGAATATTTGATACAGAGATTATGGCAGATGATTAGAAATTATCTTAAAACAGCCAAAAAAACTTAAACTATGATTCTCGATTTTATAACTATTAAAAATGACTATAACAATTGATCTACTCTATTTATTAATTATGGTGGTAAAATTATTTTTTGTAGAAAGAAGTAATTTCAGGGAGGGGGGGTAGTACCTTAGAAAGTTAGAACCCTACACCTTTGTACTCCTATGAACTTAATTAAAAATTATTTCTCCATTACTTTAAAAAAATCATAAATGTCATTATTTTTTGTTTTTTAAAAGCTTTGCAAATATTAATAATTTTATTCTATTCTAAATGGTCACACAAAATTTACTATAAATTAATAATCTAATAATATCTTAATCGTGCATTTAAACTTAGGAGTCTATTATATTCGTGTACATTGTACATAATATATATTATACCTATATTCTACAGAAGTGTGCAAAAACAAAATATTACACTTCATTACTAGTTACTCAAAACAAGGATGGCTCAATTATTACCATATAATACAAAACAAAAAAACCTTGTGTCTCTCAGTATAATATCTACAATTTATATGAAAAATTTAAAATATTATGTTTCCCTAATTTCATATGTATAGGTTATAAAAACGAGCATTTGTTAATTTTTCTTCACAGGTGTCCAGAGTTTGGCAAGAAACTAAAAACCAAATATATGTTAAATTGGAATCAACAGGAATAGGCTTGTTTGTTTGGCTAAATGTCACTCAAATAGATGGTAACTTCAATGAAAATGGATTTGTTATGTTAAACAAAACAAAAACTGTGAAATATACATCAAACAAAGATATCTCATTAAAACAATTTAATTTAGAAATTGAACACCTTAGAACAAAATTTATATAGATTAAAAGTACATCTCAAAAAAAAAAAATATACATTATTTAGAAATTATTCTCCTTATATTAAATTATATAAATATAAATGCAAAATAAAATTGTCTTTTATGGATTTACAGGTTTTTTTTTAACTTTATTTTCTGGAGCATTTGGATTTTGTCCTTTATAGAACTGTTTAAGTAAATCCATTGCCTGGTTGCCGAATAATCCACCTTGGACTTTACAATTTTCTAAACCAGGAACAGCAAGTACAGTACCACAGCCACCGAAACGGTCATTAGCACAACCATAAACAATGTTAGTACAACCGATATTTATCAACATTGCAGCACACATTATGCAAGGTTCCACAGTAACAATAACAGTTATGTTAGATAGTTTTTCTAAAAAGCTAGCCTTAACAATTGTATCGACACAATTAATTTCAGCATGCCTAGTTGCATTTTTTGTTTCATTTACTGTGTTACGACCAGAAGCTAAAATATTACCGTCATTATCAACAAAAATACAGCCAACAGGAACTTCCCCTACTTCTAATGCTTCTTTAGCTAAACATAATGATATCTTCATATGATCACTCCAATCCATTTTTATTTGAACAACTGGAGAATATTGTTTGATTTGAGTAGAACTAATGTCTCATTTTTCCATTTTTCTGCTGTGCCAACACTGCGGGGACTGGGATGAGGAATTCGTACAACCTACAATTATAATAAAATTATTTCTGTATTAGTTTAAACTAATTTTCTAATTTTACCTTAATATTGTTAAGTTTAAAATTCTTGACTACTTCATTAGACCTTTTTTCAGCATATTTTCCAATAGCAACAATGGTGTCAATATGAAGTAAAGTAACTATATCACTCAACGATTTGTCACAGATTTCTTGTAACTTTTTTTGGTATTCACTCTGTAAAATAGATACATAAATAGTACTTGAAAATGTGTACATCTGAAAATGTAAATCATACAACAGTATGAATGTAAAATGTAAATGCAGATTGCAGTATTGATCCTTCAACAGTGGCATAGCGTACATGTATAGCACTATAAGCACTGCTTACACTCATTCTAAACTCATGTCAAGCTACTGTCCTACAACCTGCTATAATATATCAAATTATTTGCTCTATGATAATATTGCTCAGTTGTTTAATGTTGTAATGTGCAACATTATTTACTTATTAAAAAAAAAAAAATTAATACAAATTACAACTTTTACATAAGTTAATAAGTAATACTAATAATAAGTGAAGTTTAAAAATTTTAAGCCTTCATTGTTGAAACTAAATAGATTTTTAACTACAAAATAATTTGCAAATGTTTATGATTTAGACAAATTAAGAGGTCGTTACACCCGCATGTGTTGTCTTCGTCTTACAAATGTACAACATGGCAAAAACTGTTTAGCGCGGAAAAGAACCAAGAAGGCTAGTCATAACTAAGAAACGAGATTTGCACCACATAAAAAGGAGAACTTTCTCAGTGAAACGTTTTTCTATTTTTTTAATATCACTTTTAAGAAAAAAAGTTCTTACTGTATCAAAAACCATTATTGTTTGTGTTTTTCAAACTTGAAAAAATTTTTTCATATAAATGATATCAAAAAAATAAAAACAATGTTGCACAGCCAAAACTCTCCTTTTTATGTGGTGAAAATCTCTTTTCTTAGTTATGACTTATGAATGTAGCCTTCTTGGTTATTTTACAGTTTTTACCATGTTTTACATTTGTAAGACAGAGACAGGCGGGTGTAGCGTCCTCTTAAAAAAAATTCTATGCTTCACTTATAAAAAAAAAATATGACTGGAATTTTGATTAACACGTTCACTGCGTATCATATTTTTGTATACTTGTTGTGACGCTGATAAAATTCTAGTTTTAAAAAAAAAATTCCTAAAAATTGAAAAATTTAAATATCAGTGTACAGTTTGCACTTGATTATGAAACAATGCTTATAGAAGACGCTGACAAAAAATCAAAAGTTTAATCGTAATGCTGACCAAATTATAGTCCATTAAATAACAAGATACATGACGCCAACTGGCGTCATTCAGCACATGCGAACTATGTACAATGACGCCAATTGGCGTCTTACGCAGCAAACGTGTTAATTAACCATTTTATAATTTTTTATATGATTATAATTTCAAGTCCTTTGAGTTAGATACAAACATTTTATCAACATAAAATAAAATAAAACTAAAAAAAGTTAAAATTTTCAAATATTTATAGCTTTAGAATATTTTTTAAATTACTTAGAATTTTTTACTTTATCTATACAATGTTCTACTAAAGTCTATCTTCAAAGTTGAAGATTAAATCATTTTTTTAAGCTACAAAACTTGTTGATTATAATAAAAAAAGATATTTTCATATTAAAGCCAATAGGTTTATTGCTTTGCTCAGAACTTAATATTGTTTACTGTTTTTTTTAGTGATCAAATTTGTGTTCATAAACCATGATATTATTATAGGGTAATAATTTAGAGTATTAGTGCTGGGGAGTACGGTTGAAATGAAGTTTAAAATAGAAAAAAATTGAAGTAAATATTAGTAAGTTATAGTCTGGAAATAATCTAGACCATGGTCTGGAGACTGGAAGGATTTGTATGTTATAATTTTAAGTTTTGCTTCCCTTACCAGTTACCACGTTGGTCTAGAGTCTAGACACATCTATGGTTTACCTCATGTTTGTCAAGTTATACCTCATAAAATTAACTTATATTCTTATTGTAAATACATTTTACTGATTGTATATACAAATTATCTCAAGTGCAATTACAAAAATGAAACTGGATTAAAAAATATTACCTTTAAATCGCTTGGTGTGATATTTTTAGCTTTTTCATTCATTAATGCCAAAGGGAAATAATTATGAATAAAGCAATCTTTGAAAAACTTATATGGATCGCTGTCACTGAGCTCAATAAAAAGATCCCATAATCTTTTACCACTGACTTCACTTCTATGACAGTCAAGACCAGTAACTGGCCTTTGAGGATGATAATTTGTGGGTGTTAAAACCTCTCCAACTATTCTTAAATAACTTCTCACAATATTAACTTCACCAAATGGTATCTAAAAGTCATGAATAAATAATTTATTTACTACTTTAAAAATTAGAAATTAAATACTTACACCGGTTTGACACATTCCCCAGGGTCCTGGGTTCATGCCTAAGAATAGTACTTTTTTGTTTGTATTTAAAAACTTTTTTAAAAATATCTTGTGTAAATTGAATGCATAATCTAATGGACTATAAATATAAACAATGTTTGGTCCATAATTCAGATTGTTTAACTGAGATACAAGATCATTTTCTAAGTTTATAAAACAATCGGCTAAATCATCAGTTTCAGGTTTGTTTTGTTGACTAAAGTATTTTGATACAGACATTTATAACTGTAATAAAATAATTAAATGTTAGATTATATTTTATTTAAAATTTGACAGGCGAAAGCCCATTTAAGATATAGTTTTAAGGTATTCGGTATTTATATTTAGTAATAATTTACAAAAATATACAGAATATTTGGTTACAAGGTAAAAAAGAGAAACAATTAGGCACTTTTTGAATCAACATAATTTATTAATCAATAATTAATAATTAGAGTAGGCAAAAGGCGGTGTCTAGATTGGGTTGTATTATCCAGCAAGTGAGTAGTTCATTATTCAGGTAATCAGTTTTAGCACATACAGTAAACGGAACATTGTTACATGTAAAGCGCACAGAAACTCTAAAGCGAATGTGTTAAAGGAGAGAGGAAGAATTAATTTTACACCTTATAATATTCTGAAAAAGGTTAAGTTACGAACAATACAGCTATCGGCCAGAGATAGTAGGTTCAGGTTTTTGTTGTTTAATATAAATACAAAGAGCAAAATAATATTTTGACACAAAAATATTAATTAATCTAATTAAAATATGTATTAATATAAGTAGTACTAGTTAGTCCATGAGCAGTACTGCGTAAAATTATAGAGGTGTTTTCAATTATATAGTATGTTCATAAGGTTTGTGAAAATTTTTTTTGTAGGTATATTTCGAGAAAAATAGAGAGAGCACATTAGGTGTTTGTTTATTAAATTTTAATATTGAATATCTGAAAACTCATTTGAAGAAGGGATTATTTTCTACGTCCTGTAATCATTTTCTGTTTTTACATTAGCAAAAATGTGTTTGTTAGATGTGTATCCATTGGACACGGTTGCCCATGGTCTTTGTGAGTTGCATATCCATTAGAGACTTTGGCCAATGGTGAATTTTTGTTTCATTTAAAATTAATTTTTTAACAAAATAGAGAATTTTAACACCGCGATTGAGCCATGTGAGAAGCGGAAGCAATAACACATCGTTTAGTGTGCAGATTATTGAATATTATGTAATACGTTGAAAAAAATGGATGTTACATCAGAAATAATAATATAATATATGATAAATCAGTTTACAACTTATAATACTACAGTCTATATTCTTCAATATAATATTATTAAATAATAACCACTATCTTCTATACATGTTAATATATAATACATTATTGTTAAATATCAAGTGGTATTTTGAGTTAAAAAACCTTGATATTAAAGCGTTTTAAAAAAATATTTATTCCCAGTCTTAAAATGTACACGCACCAGGTACCTACGCATTTATATATTTTAATTTGTTAAATATTATTGTGCCTAAAAAAAGCTTTAATTTGATGTTTATTTTATGAATTTTACTATTTTAAATAATGTATTTAGAATAGGTATAGATAAACATACGTACCTAATCAAACACAACTAATGACAATAGTCATTATTAATTGATGCGATGATACAATGGACAGCAATCATTGTCACAGTGTCGTGGTTGTATTTTGTCTTCACTTTCACTTGAATATTCTGATACAAACTTGGTAGATTGTAGCATTTTAAATACCATCAGTGCGTACCTATAGTTAGTAATTCGAATTTCAAATTAATTATGAAGAAATTAATAGAAATTAATAACTTACTTATTTTTAGTATCAATGTTTATTGAAAAGCTTTAACTGTACAAAATTCAATGAAGGTTATTAACGTATATAAGTATTTTATTTATTTATTTGTCTGTTTTAATTGAAGATAATAATTTATTTGTAAACGTTCTGTACCAATTTTTAATTATATTTTCTTAATTTTTTGGTTTTTCAGCTTCCAGTTTCCACAACAAGACCACGATATTTTAAGATAATACATTTCTTTAACAAAATATTTGTTCCAATTTTGATAATACACTTGAGGACTTTTATTCCATGAAACATTTGTTCTATACACGGTAGATTATGGTCTATAATTATAATTTACCGTGGTTCTATATAATATTGTTCTATGATAATATAATATGAGACCGTGGTTGTGATCCAGCAGTCACGCCAAGAAACATCGTAAATTATTTACAGTGATGCTAGCGTTTTCAACATTGAAGTATTTCAAGTATTGAACATTGGCCAATAAATTGTAGACTGTAGTAGTTGCCCGTCCCGCGCTATTTTTTTCATTCTTGACGCATGTGCAACAAATTTATCGGGGCCAAACGGCCCTACCGAATCGGATTCAAGATTTTAAATCATAGCTGTACTCTACCCAGTATAATATAACTATATAAGCATAGACTTTCTATACGTCTATTTATTAAGTCATGTCCAAGTCCAACACCACCATCAGGTCCATAGGCGCAACTAGACATTTTAACAAGGGGGTGCTTAGCTCTAGGTTTTTTTGTGACTCAATGGGACCCCTAAAATCTATAATTGCCTATATGTAAACAACTAATCACAACCACTAAAATAAAACAAAAACCATAATTCCGCGCCCGGGCGCGTCCCCACAGGACACTCCAAATTATTTTTAAAAACAGAAACAAAAGAAAAATCATACTTGGTGTGATACAGTGTTATATTATTATAAATAATACTACTGTGTTATCATTGTAATTCGATAAATTTTCAACTTGTTATTTCAAATTTTTAAACGATATTTTAGGTGGAGGTAAAGACCCAAAGCACCTCCCAGCGCTGCGGAAGGGCAAGGCAGACGGGGCATCTGCCCAGGGCCCTGCGCCTTGCATAGTATTTTATAATTTGTAAGACCACAATTTTGTTTTTCAAGTTAAAAATACAAGTCTAGGCTGGCCGTCTGCAGTTACGGCTTGTGAGTTTTTCATATTATAATAAACGAGTGAGAGTAAAAATAAATTATAATGCCGACGTGCGACGGCGACGTCCAAAATAATCCGCTGGAAACAATTTAATTGGTTATGTGCACATCAATTCCATTAAAGTATTAAACTGTAGATTGCGTGTTTTTATTATCCTGGTTATATGGTTTGACGGTTTGTCATTAGAGTATTAGAGACGAATAGACGATTAGGCGGTATTGAGTATAGAAAATAGACGTACGATACCGAATCAATTCTCGAGATGCACGTAGATATACGTATTTATTAAATAATCATTATTTATTGGAAAGCAAGAAAAAACCAATTTGGAAATTTTAAAATCTTGAGTTTTTTTTAAATTTTTGTGTAAAACTTGTATTTAGTGTAGGTACTTAGTGCAGTTCACCTAAACATTTAACTTGTACATATTTTATTTTAATATGAAAAATGTATCCAATAAATTAGGTATACAAGCAAAATAATATTCGTAGCTTTATGTTTTATCTGTTTTAAGAAATAAATACATACTGAAGAGTGAACGTTTAATACATTGTTCAAATGAGTACCTTCATGAAAAAAATTTCATACAAGTACCTATAAGTAATAGGACTTGCGAAAAAAATTTTTTTTGCCTTACAAAAAAAATGTCTAGGGCCCATGAAAAAATCTGCCCCGGGCCCCGCAAAACCTCCCGCCGTCGCTGGGCCACCTTATCTAATTGTTCCAAATGTGGGACTCAATATTTCGAGCTAATTATAAGCATAAGAAATTTTAGATTTTTTTAATATCCATTTGTTAACGGTTTAAAACAATGTTACTCATAAAAAAAGTAAAAACCACAAACTGTAACTACATAAACAATAGATTTCCAATTAAAATTTAAATACTATGATTGTAGAATTAACCTCAAGCAAATTACTACTATGTGGTTGTGTGGTAATTAGTGATATTTTATTAATATAGTACTATAGTATGAGGGAATATTTAAGTTTTACAAGTGAAATAAACAATGATTTATAAATAATTCTATTCATGAAAAATAAAACAATATAGTCATTAAATTCTTAATAATTGTTGTAATTGATAAAATAAATGACTTTCAGAAAACATTGTTGAACATTATATATTACAAACATTACTATGTTAGTGAATTTGTTTACCTATAGCACAGACATTTATTTGAGAGTAACTATGATTTGATGTTAACAAAAAATTTTTTTAAAAAAATACATAAAATTGATTTGTTCAATAAATATAAATTATAATAATAGTATCAATATAAAAGATTATTAAATATTTTGTTTGAAAACTAAATAAATAATTTATTTATATTATATGATAAATGTATAAGGTGTACATTGTACATAAATATTAGAGATATGATGCTGACCATTTTGAACGAAGGTGACTACAGTTACGTCACCTGGCATATTGAAATACTACAATTAATAAAATGTATATAATATCAATAATAATAATAAAAAATAATATATTTAAGATACAAACAATTAACAGAAAACATAATTTATTGATCAAAAATAATATTTTAATTTACAACATTAAAACAGAACCAAACACATCATTTGTTACATGTCAAATATAGGCAAAAAATAAATGTAGTTTTAAACATAAAAAATAATGTAACCACATCCTTACTTAGATTGAAAGTTAATTACAATAGCTTTTTAGAAACAAGTTACAAATCAGTTAGATTACATTAATATATCAACATTTTAACCAAAATTATTTTAAGGTAGTTACTATAAAATAATTATAGCTAAACATAATATTGGCTAGGTACATTATATTACTATTTATCACAGAGTAAACATTTCTTCTTCTTCTTGTTCCAGCCGCTGCCGTGAACTCATTAACTTTAGATTCTGGGTCACTATTAATGGTATTTCATCTGTACTTATTGAAGGACCCTGTATTCTACGACTTGTTAATCGTTGGCGTGTGAATAATACTTGTTCTTCTGGACAGTACCTATATAATCAACAAATAATAATATTGTACATTTCTACAAATAATATCAAATTTAGTAATATAATATGTCACATAATTTAAGAATATGTATATTAAGGTATTGGAATAGTCAAGTGAATTAATAGCTTAAAAAAGTAAGCATAAATAAATAATAGGTTTTTTAATTCTGAATTATTTATTATTAATTAAAATCAAAGAATAGGATTTTTATAAAAGTTGTACTTTATTTCATGTTTTGTTTTTATTCTTTATTAATTTAATAATTAATTATCCCGGCAACCTGTATAATTTAAGAAATTTAATTAGTTGAAGACATTTGTTTGCCTATCTTAATAATGGTTACCTAATGGGTTATACAATGGTTATAAAATACTGAAGTAGCGCTCAAAGTTAGACTCGTAATAGATTTGAGGCAAAAAAATTTATGGGGGTTCAAATATTTTTTATATAAAATCAATAAATTTGAATGTGATATTATCAACAGTTATTGTACCTAAGTAAAATTCTAATTATTTATAGAAATTGTGAATTATTAGTAAATACATTTAGACAGATAATTTTTAAGAAATAACTTACACACTTCTGTCTTGACTATCTATAACTTGAGCTCTTGCACTAGCAATTTTGTTATCTATTTTATTTAAGAAATTATTACAGTCATCAATGTTGTGCTCTTCAATCGGTGATATATTGGGTAGTTTTGACCCTTTGTCATTTTGGAAGTTGCTTGTACCAGTGGCATTGATATCGCAAGTAGGTATGTTCAGATGTTCCCTCAAGAACAAACTGTCGTTCGTAAACAGTCGGTTGGCATTTCGTATTTGCTCAGTCTAAAAGGACAATGTCATAAACACATACAATTATAAGATGGAGACATTTAAGGTGATTAAATAAAATATAAAAATTTCTAAATAATAATTATATTTACCGTCACGCTGTACTTAAGTGCAAGCCCCTGCAATGTGTCCGTTTCCGTGACAACATGTTTGATGAAGTGCTCATTGCGGACAAAGTAGGTGCTGTTACTTATACTGCCATATTTCCTTAGAGGTTTTGTATTATCACGGATGCTTACCCTTTCGTCCATTGATACTTGGTTATGCCCATTGAAACGATTGCTGTTGCATAATGCGATTTCACAAGACACTAACGTTTTTCACGTTAACACGTACAATTAATGTACAAAGTACACACAGCACCTAAATACAAACATGATTTTTGTAGTGCTTTTGTGTGTCGAGTATGGATTATAAGTTAAACAAATTATTATCAGTATTATTATTATTATTACTCAAGACGTGTGGTGTAAGCACAATTTAAATGATTCTACACCGTGCGGTTTTGTTACGTTTCGTTGCCAGCGTTAACGAAATGCATTCACTTTATAATGAGAATTTCTCTCATACGAAACCTAGAATTTTTTTTTATTGTTTCAGCATCGAGATGGTTATTGAGCGAAGACTCGACACTGGACACTGGACGACAGTCTCGGCACTCGGCAGTAATCATGAACGGAAAAAATTAACAACAATTATAAATTGTCTATTATCTTATCAAAATATCATGATTTCTTATCAATATTGTACAATGTACATCCACAGATTAAAGATTTAAATCTGGCACATCCCACAATGTGACACATTTATTGCAACAGAGTCTGAAGTCTGAGGTAACATTTCAATCGACTTGCGATCCCACCTAAATACCTAAAACCTAATGGCCTAATCTCAGAAATCCAATCCAGAAGGTGCAATGCGCCACTCCCTACCATTGGTATTTTCAACGATAAAAAAAATTGTAGGTAATTACTAATTACTAATTTAATATAAAAAGTTGAACGTTGGTCAAACACCATAGCGAAGAAAATATATTAATTACTCAAACGTGAACCGTGTAAAATTGGTTAATTGTTTAATAGTTTTAATACTAATATACTACAGTGTATTAATATATTATTAAATATTAATTATTATATTTTTGTACATTATTCACAGTGCCTATATAATAAATTCACGTTAGTACAAGAATATTAAGAAAAAAATATAATATATTCAGTTATTTAAATATTTTACATAATAATTTATTTTATTTTATTTAAAAACAAAAATACAATTATACATTAATTTATACATTTTAATAATATAGTCTTAATTATTCATACAATTTATTTTTATTACAGGTAGGTACTATGTATAGTGTATACATATTGGCTTACCGTTTTAAATGCACTTACTAGTTAAATGTTGATAAATAATTATAGTACTAATATTTAGAAAATTTTAGTCTTTTGGTCTAGGTACCTCAGAAGCGGATTTTTAAATATCCACGGGGGGGGGGGATATTTTTTGCTGTTGATGAGAAACATGAGAATTAATTTGATGTGCTGTATGTCACTGTATGTACACTGTATGTCTGTAAACCACATATAAAATAATTGTTATTTATATTTTATGTTTTACCTATATTGTTAATGTCTATTACAATAAGATGGGTAGGTAGGTACTACTTATTTTTTTGTTGTGTATTTTTAGACATTTTCACAGGCCAATGCTGGAGAGGGAGCGGTGACCAACCCATCAACATGTCCCTAGCACCGTAATTCGTAAAACTACCACTGGCTAGGGATGGACAGTATTTTAATTAAATGTATTTGAAAATAATTGAAATACATTTTGTGTTTTGAATTATCTGTTGTAAAAAAAAAATTGTAATTAGTAATTTGTATTTTGTATTTCAAAAACATTTGTATAGTATCCATGTCTTATACACAGTGGTCGGGAGTAGCACGCTAGTCGCTACTCCAGCTGTAGCGATTATCATAGCGTTGCTACAATATATAATATAATGTAGCGAAATACTACAGCGCACTAAAAATTTACGGTTAGCGTAGCGAATATGTTCATTATTTTATCGCTACTTCTAATCTATTTCATGATAATTAAAATATTATGATGTATGTTTATTTATTTAATTAAGATGACTAGATGGTCTAGATGAGTATATATTTTTGAATTTTTCGGGTTTAACCCGTACCTCACTAATCAGTAATAATAAGAGCAATGAGCATTATTACAATGTTATATTATTTTATATTATTGAATACAGAACCATAAATAATAATTAATATATTAGTATTTTATTATCACTAGTTTTATTTTCGGCATTCTGTGTTTTCTGTTTTTTTTTTATTGTTAAATTTTATATGTGAAAAAAGTAAAAACAGTATTTTAGGGTCTATGTATCATTGAATTCAGATTTAACACTACCATCACAATGACCTACACAACGACAAGGTCCACTTGACACTTACATTATACAGCGGAGCGTAAGGTGTTCTAGATGCCATCAACTTTTCAAAAAAATGTTTAGCAAATCAAAATTCTTTGTAATCACTAATCCCCTTGCTGTATGAAATCCTTTCTCCCAATGACCGAATGCCAAATCAGTACAAACTACTAATTGGCAATTTTCAATAAAACGTTTATCTGTTTTGAGTTTTGTTACAAAACTACATGAGATACATTGGATAAACCTGCCTTGAGCCTTCCGAAATTACAAGAAAATAGTGGTAGACATTAAAAAATAATGACCAAATACTCAAGTGAATATCTAAATAAATCAAAAAAAATTTTAAAAAAAATGTAGGGAAAAGGTAGAGCGCTATATTTAAACAATAGCGTTAGATATAGCGCACTACATTTAACAAAAAGTAGCTTTAGCAATAACGGAGCTACTTTTTGGGGGAGTAGCAGTAGCGTTAGCGTGCTAAAAAAAAAAACAGTAGCGTCCCGACCACTGCTTATACATTATATATATAGGTATATATTGTATTTTTAAAATACTCAAAATAAATAATAACAGATAATAAAATCTCGCGCTTGAATTTTGGCCCAGCCACGTAATAGTAACGAGCCCGCCCAACCTAATTTACTTCATAACTACATTTATTACATATTCAATTTTAATCTGTGGCAGCTATGTATATTTAGTACATAGGTACTCATATACATAGTATCATTTTTTTAAAGGTTTAAATATCTAACTATATTAATATAATAATATCTGCATACTAAATATTTGTAAGCATTTTTAGTTTAGATGAGTCTATAAGAAATTAACCATAGGTACTAACATATAAGAAGTATCTATATATCTACTCAATAAATGTTCAGTGTTAAAAAGGTGCTCTGCTGTACAGTAGTTTACAATTGGGTCACTGTATAATGGATGGTATTAAATTTGAATTCAATGATATAATATTATTGTATAAGAAAAACGATTCTGAGCGGAGACGGTATGTCAGTCTAGGTATAAGACATACCTATTATATACTTATCTATAGTATTAAAAAAAATTGACCTATAATAAATTTCAAATTAATCATATCACAATATCCATTAGGTACTTAAAACGCGTTATACATCAAGAACAAACCGTGATACTATCATAGATATATAATAATGTACTTTAAAAGTTTCAAGTACCCATGAATAATATTATACAATCACAACAAAATAACTAAAATAGTTATTCTAGGTTTTTTATTACACAATTTCGTCCAAATTTGAACTTAAAATGACTATAAAAATAAACTGTGTTTATGTATACTTTAGATTTTTTGGTAACAGAATTAAATACTTACCTGGAATCTTATTTTAAATTTTCAATCCTTAGATATAAAAGTTGAACATTTTATAAATTATTAACTACAAAATAATTATTAAATTTTAAAGTTGATACATTTTGTCAAAATTCTATCTTTAAATGCTTATAAAAAAAATTATGTACATGTATTTTAAACCTTGGCTTTGGGTCTTGTACTTTTTGGCCCAACAGATAAAACTTCATTGATATTTATAGATAAAAAAACTAAAAAAACTGAAAACTGAAAATTTCCATAAACAACTCAAAAAGAGTCAAAATATTTTCAACACTGTATGGTGTTTAGGAAATGCTAATATAAACATTCAGTGAAATTTGCATGTATCTACAGTTATTCATTTTTGAATTACAACAAAATAAGGAAATCGCTATATGAGAAATCGAGTGAATATTCAATGTTGTAAAAATTTTAATTTCAAACGCACATAAAAATTTAATTTGACTTTCTTATAGACATTTTTTTTTCGATAAAGGTAGACAATCTAATAAGGAATCTTGTATTCAATTTTAAAATCTTAGATTTAAAAAGAAAATTTTTACGAATTCTTAACTCAAAATAATTTTCAAATTTTTGTGATATTTCCATATTTTGTCAATTTTTGAACTTTAAATGCTTATAAAAAAAAACTGTGACTAAGGATTTTTAATATTTTTCATCTGCCTTTGAAACAATATACTAGGAGCCTTCTATTAAATTCTCAAGCTTTTTTAACCCACAAATACTGTGTTATTGATATTTTTAGAAAAAAATGGAAAATGAAAATGTTCCTAAACAGTTCAAAACAAATCATAATATTTTGAAAATTTCATCGTGTATAGAAAACGCAAATAAAAACAACCTGTGAAAATGTCATGTATATACATTCATTTGTTTTAGAGTTACACTAAAAACCAAAATTAATTTTTTGGAAAACCGATTTTACGTAAATATTCCCGTTTTTCCTTAATTTTTGTGTTGTTTTTCCCAGCACTTGTGAAAACTATTGGGAATTTTAAAATCTGATCTTCCGAATGCACCAACTAGATTCACTTTCCCATCGAACAAGATACTGTTGAAGAAAATCGAAGCAGTTTTACTGTCCCAAACCGTGATGGCAGACACAAAAAAAAAGTAAAAAAAAAAAAAATAGAAAAGTAAAAATTAAAAAATTAAAAAAAACACACATCATTGTAAAATCAATACATTCATCGTTTCACTCAGAATCTAAAATCACTCTGTATATAACCGTGTATATATTAAAACTATTAAGCATATAGGTATTATATAATGTGTTAATGTGTAATGATGACTATAAGATATACTATATGTTTATGTTCTTATTATAATTTATAATACTTATTCGTATATCACATATAATGTTGGTCATTAAAATCGTTTTTTTTATATATATAGGACTTATGGTCAAATCTGGTGAATCTAGTTATTTATATAACCTTTTTGAAACCAACAATCTGAACGGTTTAGATTAAAGAAGATGAACCGCTATACCCTGTAGGCTATAATAGCTAAACCTATACAGGTATCAATACTCCCGTCTACCAATGCTGTATTTTAATAATTTAATTTTTTTTGCATAGAACTTGTTGCATAATTATGATAATAAACGAGGAAACTTGTTTAGGTTATCTTCTTTTGAAACCGAAACTCTCTATACGTATATCAAATCTCAATAGTGTATAATAAAATAAATGATATACAACAAATAAAATACAATCTTGAATAATATTTCAATCGTTTGTCAAATTTATATTACCTACCTAACTACCTAAGTATCATTTTTCTTCCGCGCATTTTGATTCTGAGAGGAGAGATGTAGTTCTTCTAACCACATATTTAAAATAAATTCAATTTTATAAAATGAATTAAATAAAAAAAACCCAAAATATTAAACATATTTTAGTAAATAATAATTATTAATGAATAATAGTAACTTATTATATTGCATATTCACAGAAAATATTATATAACTATATTATATATGGACATTTTATAGGGGTAACCGCGTCCTTAATAAAATAAAAATATAACAATTTACTCAGTACCTACCCATACACGACATATTATAATTTATAACCTTACCTATACAGTAGGGATTTGGGCCCATTTCGCCGAAACCCATTTCGCCGAATCCCGTCTCGCCGAAGCATAGTAAAATAGAATTTTGTTTTGTTATAATATTATTTTAAAATATATAGTCAAATAAAATGGTGAAATAATAAAAATAAATGAAATAATTACATTATAGTAAAAATAATTAATATTTAGTAAAAATATATAAAAACATTTGTCAAAAATGTATAGTCAAATAAAATCGTGATATAATAAAAATAAATGAAATAATAATTACGTTATAGTAAAAAATAAAAATATATAAAAACATTAATTGTAAAAAATGTATAGTAGAAATTAGTAAAAATAATTAATATTTAGTAAAAATATATAAAAACATTAATTGTCAAAAATGTATAAAAAAATGTATATTTATATTTTTAATTTTATTCAAGATGGAAGTGGTAAATAATCGCATCTAGATATTCCATAATAGATATTTGTCCATTTCCAAATCTGAATTAAACTTACATTTGAGGTATTAATATAATATTATAATAATTATATAGTTAATTATTTAGTATTTACCGCTCTTTTCCCGTTTTTAATCGGTCTTCTAAAGTTTTGTACTTTTTCCTCATTTTCGGAGCTTGGTTACATTTTTTTTGAGTAATAATATCAAGTTCAAAGTTTTGCTGCTGGTTTTTTAATTCTTTGATTAAAATAAAAATGTTTGGGTGTGGTCGACATATAGTCCTGTTAAGAGTTGCATGCCGACCCTCGAGGTGGTTAATTGTCCTCGTATGGTCTGTTTCGTAGTGGTTCCACATGCTACGACTAAATATACTAACGTCGTTATCCAAATAAGTTTCTACGAAGTAACTCATCAATCTATCCAAACCTAAATAATTTATTTATATAAATATAAAAATTGTAGTACAAATAAAATATAATGATTATTTATGTGCATTGTGCATCTTTTGTTAAAGTATCTTTGGTATGGCTTGGATATTTTTTCCGGTACTCTTGTACTACCTAAAAAAAAATCGTAAGTCATACTAGTTATCTTAGTTATTTATTAACATATAACTTACCTTCAATACATACTGCTTTTGATTTTCATTTTTTGTAAATTTTGTATTAAAATCTTCCATCCATTTGACACCACGTTCGGCTGCATCATTTATAACGCTCAAATGGTGTAAAATATTCTTGGCCTCTATATAACTATCGATATTCGGCCGATTTTCTGGATTTTGATGTAAGAACTCCATGCTTAGTTGGAACCTTTGGAATAGATTTTTCGATTTAGGCGTTAATAATTCAAGTGGTAAGTCTTGTTTTAAAAATTGTGCGACATCACCAATTTTTAATACATATTTTTTTGTATTTCTGTGGTCAATTCGTCTTCTTGAAGCTCGTCATTTTTTAATAATTGTCGAGCCATTTGTTTTTTCACTTGATTTTCAATCCTGTCATCAAATAACGAAAAACAAGCAGTTTCTTCTCCCAGATACCATAAATGATTTATAAATTTTTTTATAGCAAGCTCAGCCACTTGCTTATCATCTGACTTATAGTCTTCAAGTTTTCTTTAAAAAAGTACATCATTATAAGGTGCTTCAATAGCATTAGGAGACCTAAACCAAAACTCTATATAGCATTTCACAATAAAACAGCATATAGTTTTTAATGAAGTTATTTCTGCTTTTGTCAGTTTAAATTGTTCTTGAAATATGTATATTTTCAAACAATATATTCCCTTACACATCCATCTAGCTAGATGATAAGCTCCTGGACGTTTAAAATGAATACCTTTAGGTGGTACCCCACCACAAAAAAATTATCACCAATTCCAAAAATTCTTTGTAATCATCCCTTGGTAGATTTTGGTTTAAAGTATCTTTACAAAATATTATAACATCATCGGCTACTTTATGCAATATTTTTTTGACCTCATTATCACTTACCCAAGTGCTATATTTAACCACTTTTTGTCACAATATATTAGGAACCTTGTATTAATTTTTTAGTATTTATGACCTAACAAATACAATTTTATTTTAATTTTATTTTACATTTTTCGGCAAAATGGGATTCGAAAAAATAGCATTCGGCCAAATGGGATTTTATATTAATCCGTATACAACTGTTTTTTTTTGTCGGTAAAGTAGGATTCGGCGAAATGGGATGATACCACAGTAGGTACCTACCTTTTTTAAAGCCAACAAATAACATAATAATTCAATAAATCAATAAATGTCTTACAATTTTTAAATAAATGTTTGTAATAAAATAAGTTACTGTAGGTACTTATATTTGCATATTATACTTTACTCATTGATGAAATCCAATAAAATAATTAAATTATTGCTATGTATTTGTTAACGTAAATGGTCCACAACTATACTAAATATTATAATAATCAAATTCATTATTATTTATTAGAATATAATTATAAAATAATATCAAATATTATGCAATTATTAGTAAGAATTTAGAAATACGTAAATACGATGAACTACCACGCTACTATACTATTATTTACACCGAGAGGCCAAGTTATTGCTGTAATTCTATGAATAAATACAAACATAATAAGTAATAATATTAATAATGATTAGGTATAGCGTATAGTACCTAGGTATAATAATTAATTTTATTTTAAAAAAAAAAAAAGTAACTTATTTTCAACTAAGTTAAGTTACTTTTATTTTCTAAATAACTTGTAACTTTTACAAGTTAAAAAAAACAAAGTTGACTTTTAACTTTAAACTTAACTTACATTTTTCTGTATTAACTTAACTTAATGAGTTAAAAAAAATAGTTAACTTGCCCAGCCTTGCAAAATGGTAACAATTTTTACTGCACAATTACTTTTATTGCCCAATAAAATGTGTCTCACTGCACACTAAAAAACACCCTGCCTTATCGTACTACCATGGCACCATGTAAATGTGCACTGAGACAGCTTCTTTCAAAATTCTCATTTTTAAGTGGTGCTTGCACAAGTATTTTGAGATTCGAGATTATCGATGAAAATTTTTAAGTTTTGAACATCACATAGGTACACAGAATATTAAATAAACGAATTGAACAAAGTTTGAATCATATAGGTAGGGTTGGCACTTTTAACCGGCAATGACGTACACGGACATAGCTAGTAATGAATATAATTTTTCTCGTTTTTAAAAATGTTTATTCTTTCATAATTATATGATTTAAAAACGTATAAAATACTATGTAGTGTAGCCTATATGTGTAAGAATATGCACTAGTTTATGCTTTAATACAATTAAAATATGTAAAAATTAAATATTATATACATTTTAATTGAATATATAGAAATAAAAAAAATTGTATTAGTATATGCCATATAAAATGTATCTTATTGTGTGTAGGTATTCAGTAATCTCAAGAGGACGAGGTACTCGCATTAGTCTGTATCTTTCACAAGCATTGGCGTAAATAGTGTTTGAAATTTGGGGGGGGGCTGAAGCTCAGGTATATACTTGAAACTCTTATGATGCTTTTAAATTATAGTAGTGAAATCATTAGTTTTTGGGGGGGTTATAGAAACTTCAAGGGGTGCTAAAGCCTCCTAGCCCCCCTCCTATTTGCGCCTATGTTCACAAGTACAACAGCAAATATTCGTTCAACAGTTTCAATAGTGTGCAGAGGACGCGGTTTGACATTTTTCAGTTGGTGGTTCAACAATAGTTAATACCACCCACCCACCTGCCAAAAAGTCATATTAGGTACAACAACTTACCTAATTTTTATAACTTTTTTGACAATTATTATTTATTTTAAAACATGCTTAATAATTGTGATTATATGATAAATTAAGTACCTATCCAATTATAAACAACCAAGTGAACTAGTCGGCATTAAAAACCTATAGATATAAAACAAAATTAGTTATCTAGCGCGCTGACACTGTAGATAAAGAATTTTATCAGCAGCTCGCCCGAGCTCGGAACCCCCTAACTTATATTCCGGCTGGCTACTAACAATACACAAATAAATTCATATAAGACTATAGTAAATTAAAAAATTTTAATCAAAATTATAAATAATTATATACCTCGACACATTTTTAATTCAACTTTTACTCAAATACAAAATCTTATACTATAAAGCGTGAACCCGAGGGCGCAGCTTGTGGAGTAAATCCGAACTGCTATAGACGAAAATGGAGCGAAAACGCGGCGGCGGAGCGTTATCACTCCTCCTTATCGCTTTTCGCGGTTTCGACCTGTTTACACGATTTTTTTTCAAACTTTTCGAGTTTTACCCACCTCCGGGGCCTCGGGGGGCACCGTTCGGACCTTATTCGCCTTCCCCGCTAGATTTATAGTCGGCCCGCGGCCCTACTTTTTTCCCGGCGGGCCCCCCGCGGCGGATATCGCGTGCGAACCGAGCGCCGCCGTCGCGCGCGTTTTTTGCATTTTTTTTCGAAAATTCGAGTTTTAGGCGTTTTAGGGCGTATCGACCTCCCCGTTTGCATCTTATTCGCGTTCCCCGCTAAATTTAACGTCGAAACGTGGCCCTACTTTTTCAAAAACGAGTCCCCCGGCGGACGATTCGATCGCCGAGGGCGCCGCGTCGTCGCCGTTTCGACGGTTTTCTCGACTTTTTCGACTAGAGTCGCGTTTAGCACCTCTACGAGACGTCCGACCTCCCCGTCGTCGACGTATTCGAGTTCCACGCTAAATTTATAGCCGGCTCGCTTACCTACTTTTTCAAAAACGAGTCCCGTGGAGGAGCGACGTCGCTTAAACGAGAGTAGGTACCGATTGGGTATCGAGTAGGTACCGCTATATACAGGCATAAATAAGTGAGTCTCGAAGTTCGATTTTTTTCGCAAAGCTCGGGTATTATACGTCCGAGGGCGGCGGAGCCGGTCGTCCGCTCGCCGACGCTGTCGGATCGCCCGCTCAAACGCCCTTTGACGGCCGTCCAAACGGCGTTCGCCTTTCGCGGGGACGGCAACGCGGCTTAAGAGTCATAGATTTGACTCCGGTTGACATCTGAGTAGGTGGCTAGGTTGGTTAGGCGTTAGGATAGGTGACTCGAGGGTCGTGGGTTCGAACCCGGCCTCTGGGATTTTCGATAATTTGCGCCATCCGTACTAAATCGAATTTCTTATTTTTGCGTTTTTTTTTTTCGTCACATTTAGCATTTTTAACGAAAGTGTTAATTTTTTTTTTAAATTTTGCATTATTATATTATATATATTATCATTATTCGTTTGACGATATTTATTGGGCAAAAAAATAATTAAAATTAACATTTAATTAATACTTGATTTTACCGACGCACCTACATGTTTCTTTTATTAACACATTATAATAACGTATAACTAACCTACTTGATATATTACAGTTTTTACGTGATTCCGATTTGGTTAAATACTGCTACAGATTATAAATACTATATTAAAAAATAGTACGACTATATTTGCCGTTTTAGTCCCGTGGTGGAGTAGTGAGTAACCCGCGTTCGCTATTCGCGGGGACGGCGACAAACGGTCGTATCACCCACCCCGTCGACTACTTATTCGCGTTCCCTGCTATATTTATAGCCACAGACGAGTCCCTCCGGGGTGGAGTAGTGTGTCGGAAACGAGAGTAGGTACCGTGTAGGTATCGCTATATACAGGCATATATACATGCGCCTCGAGGTTCGATTTTTTTCGCAAATCTCGCGTCTTGAATGTCCGAAGGTGGCGGACACGGTGGTCCGCTCAAATGCCCTTAAGAGTCATAGATTTGACTCCTAATTTCATCTCGGTAGGTGGCTAGGTAGGTTAGGCGTTAAAACGGGTGATTCGACGGTCGTGGTTTCGAACGCCGGCGGGGCCGTGTTAAATCGAATTTCTTTTTTTTGCGTTTTTTTTTTCGTCACATTTATCATTTGTAACGAAAGTGTTAATTTTTTTTTTTAATTTGCATTATTATATTATATATATTATTATTATTCGTTTGACGATATTTATTGGGCAAAAAAATAATTAAAATTAACATTTAATTAATACTTGATTTTACCGACGCACCTACATGTTTCTTTTATAAATACATTACAATTTAACTAACCTATACGTGTAGTACCTACTTGATATATTACAGTTTTTACGTGATTCCGCTTTGGTTAAATACCGCTATAGATTATAAATACTATATTAAAAAATAGTAATGACTGCTTCATTTGCCGTTTTTTTCAAAAATTCGAGTCCCGGGGTGGAAACGAGAGTAGGTACCGTGTAGGTATC